GAAGGATTAACCGGCTCTTCTCCACTCAACCAGCTAAGGTGTACTCTCAATGGCAGGGTAATAACAACAGAGCAGACCCACCAAGGCTGGAGACTGAACAATACTGGAAAGGCATATGGGAAAGGGAGGCGTCCCACAACAGCAATGCACAGTGGCTGATCTCTCTACGAGAGGACCACAGCAACCTCCCTGAGCAAGCCCCGGTAACCATCACTGTGACAGATGTCCAAGAAAGAGTCTCAGGTATGAAAACTGGACAGCACCAGGGCCTGACATGATCCATGCCTACTGGCTAAAGAAACTCACTGCTCTCCATGAGCGAATGGCAGCCCAAATGAACCAGCTGCTACAAAGTGGGACTCACCCTGAATGGTTAACTGAAGGGCGGACAATCCTAATCCAGAAGGATCCATCAAAGGGTCCAGTCCCACCCAACTACCGACCAATAACCTGCCTCTCCACAACCTGGAAGCTCATGTCAGGCATCATAGCGGCCAAGATAAGCAAACACATGGATAAACACATGAGCACGGCACAGAAGGGTATCGGTGTAAATAGCAGAGGAGCCAAACACCAACTCCTCGTAGACCGCACAGTTGCCCGAGACTGCAAAACCCGACACACCAACCTGTGCATGGCTTGGATTGATTACAAGAAAGCCTATGACTCAATGCCGCATACTTGGATCATTGAATGCTTAGAGATGTATAACATCAACAGGACTCTGAGAGCCTTCATTGCAAACTCGATGAGGCTGTGGAAAACCACCCTTGAAGCCAACTGCAAACCACTTGCACAAGTGTCCATCAATGTGGCATATACCAAGGAGATGCTCTGTCCCCGCTACTGTTCTGCATAGGCCTGAACCCCCTCAGCCAAGTTATCAACAAGACTGGCTACTCAAAAATGGGGCCAATATCAGTCACCTACTCTACATGGATGACATCAAGCTGTACGCCAAGTGTGAGCGAGACATCGACTCACTGATCCACACCACCAGGATCTACAGCACTGACATTGGGATGTCATTCGGACTAGAGAAATGTGGTCGGCTGGTCACAAAGAGGGGGAAGGTCATCCACACAGAAGGGGTCTCACTCCCAGAAGGAACAATAGCAGACATAGAGGACAGTTACAAGTACCTAGGTATACCACAAGCAAATGGCAACCTCGATGAGGTCACAAGGAAAGGAGCCACAGCTAAATACCTCCAACGAATAAGGCAAGTCCTGAGAAGCCAGCTCAATGGCAAGAACAAAATCCGTGCGATAAACAGCTATGCCTTGCCAGTAATCAGATACCCTGCTGGAATAATTAGCTGGCCAAAGGAGGAGATAAAAGCCACAGATATTAAGACCAGAAAGCTACTAACAATGCATGGAGGGTTCCATCCCAAATCCAGCACCCTGAGACTGTACACGAGCCGCAAGGAAGGAGGCAGAGGACTAGTGAGTGTGAGAACCACTGTCCAGGACGAAACAACTAAGTTCCATAAATACATCAGGGACAAAGCCTCAACAGACAATGTGCTCAGTGAATGTCTCAGACAACAGGGAACGGAGGTTGAGTGCCAGAGATACCATCATGGGAGGACAAACCCCTACATGGGATGTACCACCAGCAAATAACCCAAGTGGCTGATATCAGTAAATCCTACCAATGGCTGGAAAAAGCTGGACTCAAGGACAGCACAGAGGCCCTCATCCTGGCCGCCCAGGAACAGGCCCTAAACACCAGAGCAATAGAGGCCCAGATCTACCACACCAGACAAGACCCAAGGTGTAGGTTGTGCAAGGAGGCCCCTGAGACAGTCCAGCACATCACAGCAGGGTGCAAGATACTGGCAGGGAAAGCGTACATGGAGCGACATAACCAAGTGGCAGGCATAGTGTACAGAAACATCTGTGCAGAATATGGACTGGAAACCCAAGATCAAAGTGGGAAACACCCCCAAAGGTGGTGGAGAACGCCAGAGCTAAGATCCTGTGGGACTTCCAGATCCAGACAGACAAAATGGTAATGGCGAACCAACCAGACATTGTCGTAGTGGATAAACATCAGAGGAAAGCCGTTGTGGTAGATGTAGCAATACCAAGTGATTGCAACATCAGGAAAAAGGAGCACGAGAAACTAGAGAAATACCAGGGCCTCAGGGAGGAACTGGAGAGGGCCTGGAAGGTGAAGACCACAGTGGTGCCTGTGGTCATCGGGGCCCTCGGGCAGTAACCCCCAAACTGGAGCAGTGGCTACAACAGATCCCAGGAACAACATCAGACATCTCAGTCCAGAAATGTGCAGTCCTTGGCACAGCCAAGATACTGCGCAGAACCCTCAAGCTCCCAGGCCTCTGGTAGAGGACCCGAGCTCAGAGGATAAGAACCACCCGCGGTGGGTGAGAAGGGATTTTTTTTTTTTTTTTTTTATATATATATATATATATATATATATATATATACAAGACGCACAAAAAAAAGACCATAAAAAAAGAGAAGGGTCACGTGACCAATGAACAGCTGGGCCAATCAGATTCAGGTCACGTGGCCCTTCAATAATCATTTTCTCAACCATCAAATATAAATTATACATAGATATCTAATTGAAAATATAGGTATGTTGATATAGATATCTATGTCTCTATATATAGTTTATATAAAAAGTATATTTGATGGTTCAGAAAATGATTTGTAACTAAATGATGGCAGAGGGGATCTAGGTCTTTGACGTCAATATGACGTTTGATTCGGGCTCCGAGTTTGCCACAGGAAGGTCACGTGACCAATACCAAACACCTGATTGGCTTAGCTGGTCATTGGTCACGTGACACTTCGTCGTCGCATTCAAACTCCGAATCTGACGTCACAGAATGACGTCAATGACCAGCAGAAGCAGAGCCTTTGAATGTTGGGCCTCTGAGATCATTTGGTCACAAATCGTTTCCTTGTCTTTGCAGTAAATGCTTGCAAACACAAAGCCCATTAGAGAATTAATGGGCTTTAAGATTGGTTTATCCTTTCTTAAGTTTACAAGCTATGCACTGCTCAGGGAAATGTCGGGCCTTGAAAGGCCTGTTTGACCCCTGATGACCGAGGGGTCTGTGTCATGGGACTATGGTCACATGACACAATGGGATGGGAAATAAGCTTCCATACCTAGGTATGGAAGCTTATGGGAAAGCATAACTTATGGTATAGATATATATATATATATATATATCTATATAGATATATATCTATATAGATATCTATATAGATATATATATCTATATAGATATGTATATATATATATTTGTGCGTGTGTGTGTGTGTGTGTGTGTGTGTGTGTGTGTGTGTAGACATAATTAAATGTTGTTTTATCGTTATTGGATTATTGTGTGTCACATCACGTGACCTGTCTAATTTAACACACTCGTGGACAATAAAGTTTGTGTCCTTCACATAAAGGGAGAACAACACAAAAGCCAAAACCGAGTGAGTCTCGTGCTGTCACGTTGAACGCTGTGCCGAGAAGTGATTCTGCTATCAGAATATATACATATATATATATATTTTCATCTTTATTTTTTTCATCTTTACAACTGACATGAAAAATAAGAGAAAGCGAGTTTCAGGAAATGGCTGTGTCTGTAAAAGAATTACTGTGTTGTAGACATAGATATCTATTTCTGCATCTCTACAACATAGTATCATTTAGGATAAATATGTGCAGATATAAATATCTATATTTCAGTCAGTCTCATCAATAAGGAATCTCACTGCACTTCTCCAATGACTGAAATGAAGCTTTATTGGGCATAAACAGTAATTTATTCATTTGCATTCTTGTATGGAACTATTGAAGTGTGCAAGAAAGCTTCATCACATGACACAGACTGAGTCAGTAAATGTAATAGCCTGAAGAGCGAATACCGGCAGTTGATCACAGACTTATTTACATACAGTCTTTAAACGAAGGCCCTGTCACCAATCATTTTCTCTTTTGTCTTTATTATCAAGTTATAATATCAGCTAAATAGAAAAAGGTTTATAGATATATCTATCTATATAGATGTACATAAATACACATGGAGATATATCTTTATATCTATCTCGAGGATTATTGATATTTAATCCGTTAGAGTTTCTCTACAAGTATTTAGCTGCATGAAAAGAGAAAATGCTCAGTGACCACATCATTGCAGAGTTTCTACATTCAGAGACTCTGCAAATGAAATTGGCTGGGATTTACCAAGAATAGAACAACAAGAAAACAGAGATCAACTCTATTGCTTCATTGAACTTTTAATGCATGGTGAGAGGAGGATGGAATGTTTCTGGAAAGAAATGGTCAGCAACAGTATTAGTATATGTGCATTTATTTTCCTTTTTTTGGAAAATAAAAGCACATAAATGCACATAAATGTCTGTAGCGTAGAGGCTTGGAGTTGTCCTGTCTGGATTTCTCCAGTATTCACTCTCAATATAAGAAAAAAAATGCCTGCAATTAATTATTAGGCTAATTGATAAATAAACACTGCTGCATTGCGCCTCTCCCTCTCCAAACCACCTTCTTTCTAGGTTTGTTATTGCAAAGTTACAGAAAAAGTAACAGGCTTGCAAAAAAAACAACAAAAAAAAAAGTCATAAGCTTCTGTAGAGCTGATGTGGGCATTAATGAATGCGCATCATTAACCATGGGAAGTATCCCGTCCGCTGCAGCCCAAACGTGCTGACGAAGCAGTTGAGGACTGTTGTGATGAAGACTATGATGGTTGTCATGTTGTTCAAGTAGTCCAGACGTCTTTGCAGAGTAGAGTTGTTCAGATCCCGACGGCCTGCGTCCCACAAAAGCACAAGTGCACAACAAACACAAAGAAAGTCTGTCACACTGTCACCCATATATCAATAAAAATAAAAACAATACAGAGGAAAAAGTTACTTTTTTTTCATGATGCTTCCTTTAATGTTCCTGGACATCCGTTTGTTTTTACTTCTTTGTAAAAAACTAAACAGCCACAGACTGAGTTTTCTTCAAACCACTGGGTTTATTCGAGTTTCCGAAGGTGAAAGTTTACAGTCATCGATCCTGATTTCTCGCAGAAACTGAACCTCAAAAGCATCTTTTAAGCAGTTTTTAAGTTAAGTACAAATACGAAGTAAAGACGTTTACTGAAATGTATTAACCAAGACAGAAAACGTCCAACATTTGTATAAAAGTCTGAAAATCACAGCCCCACAAAAGAAACAAACAGGCAACATTTTAGCTTGGTTACAGTTTGAGTCTCTTTACAAAGAGTCCATTTATTTGCCTCAATTTTGTCTCAGATCAAGGTGTTAATTGTATTTGAATTGAATTCGTTCTGGTCGTGTTAGTGTCTGTCAGATGGCGTCTGCGGCCTTGTCCGAAGTGTCAGTAGTGGAGTCTGGCCAGCAACCAGCGGAAGAAGCCGGTCCTCTTGGAGCCGAAGAAACTAACGAAGAAGTTGACCACAGTGGTGACAAAGATGACGCCCGTGGTGACGTTGTTCAGGTAGTCGAGTCGCTTCTGATTGGACACCACATTCAGGTCCCTGCGGGCTACAACATACAAACACACGCGCACACACACACGCGTGCGCATTCAGACACAACAAACAATTTCCCACATTACCATCAAACACACACACACGCATACGGTGGTTGCTCACAGTCTCACTGTTGTCCTTTCCATGCCTTCACACATTTCAGCCGTACACCCCTCCAGCCTCCGTGTTGTCAAACTTATATTTTAACTGGAAAACAAAACTGAGACTTCTTTTGACAGCAAAACCTTGGAGTAAATGAGCTCAAACTTCTCTTCAGCTGGAAAAGTTAAATTGATCATATTTCAGTTTAGGCCTATGTCGGTTTTCTGGCTTATTTCTGTTACCTTTAACTTCTAAGAGTAGAACAGCAGTTTATACAGCATTTTGTACACCATTATCTGTCTATAGTCTCAGATTTACGAGAGCAGCTTTGATGAGTTTGATGTTTGGTCATTTTACTTTGTTTTGCTTCTGTGAACTTTAAAGCTGCTGTATTTAACTTTTATAAACAGCGTTTTAGTTATTCGTTAAAGCTACTGTACTCACTATGTTATGACAGTACAACACGAGACAGATAATCTGTAATCCATGTGGTCCTTCTGCCATCTGCAGAAATGCACTGCCCCTGGTCAGAAACAACCAATCGCAGAGTCAGAATTTTAACGCTATCAGTACTTTTTGAAGAAACGGGAAAAGGCACCCTGAACATCCCACATGTTGTTAGTCTGAATAAGTACACAAACAATGTGGGTTTTTTTAATGAAATTTTTCATTGGAAAGTTAAATGTAATGTCATGTCTATGAATTAATGTACTTACTGCACATTAGCTAAGTGTGACTCATAAAATAAAGCGATGAAATAGCCACCGCAGAAGGCAGCTGCGTTGTGTGCCAAATGCAGCTTTGATGACGTTTACAAGCAGGGTGAGGAAGATGATGCCAGTGACCAGATTGTTGAGGAAGTTCAAACATCGTCGGCACGAGGGGAGGAGCGTCAGCTCAAAACGAGCTGTGCAGCCACACACGTTCACACACATCAGTAGCACACACACGCGACACACACACGCACACACATGCATAGACAGACAACAAAATGGAGACAGTCACACAACTAGTTGGTCCTTTGGCCCAGTCCATTCACACTTGATGAAATAAAAAGCGTGTTAGTCGGTGAGTAGAACGGTAAGTTATATCAATTTGTGTGCCCATCGGTCTGATCAGATGTGTTAGAAATAAAAATCATTCTGCAAAAATTTAAAGTGAGAAGTGCATCCTGGCAAATAGGCCGGTGCGCTCCATCCCAAGGACAGAAATTAAGATGTTGGTGATGAAGATGAGGAAGATAGTGAGGGTTGCTTTGTTGTTCAAGCTGTCCAGGCGTTTCTGGTTGGCCTCTTCATTTAAGTCCCGTCGGGCTGCAACACACATTGATCAACGCATACAAACACTAACAACCAAATGCAGGAAAACACTTGGAACACGTTGTACCAAAACTTGAGAGAGAGAGATAGATAAATGAATTAATGTGTTATTATGGTTAGGAAAACAAACAACAAAAAAATAGAGATCTGAAATTGAACTCAGAATGACTTATTTTCCTCATGCTCACCTATTATGATAATCAAAACGCCGGCGACTATCTGAAGAGCCAGGGAGAAGGATATGAGCGTCAGGACAGCAGCGTAGTATCTGAGAATCAAAACGTGACAAGTGTGTTTGAATCTGGTCTCCTGAGAAACACCTACAGCAGCATACAGTACCTGTATCCTGCTCCTTGTTCAATGACAGTCTTCATGTGCGTGATGTTGGCCAAGAACAGAGCGATGTCTAGCATGCCTTCAGCTGCCGTCTTCTTGGTAGCATACAGGTTCATGTTCAAGGCAGGTGTGGAAACTCCCTGAAACACAAACAAGTTTTATTACTGAAGTAATAGTTCATACTAATAATATCTTTGGTTGGAGTCCTTTAAATGAGACATAAAAATACAGAGTGTACGGCAATAAACTTTGAGAATATATCATAAAATATGAATGGAACAAATAAAAAGTTGCAGGCCGGTGGAAAAAGTCCAGCGTAATAAAATTATTTTTCAACTTCATGAAAAACTCAACACCACCACTAGAGGGCAGCAGACCCCGAAGAGCTGAAATAACTCATGCATGCTCGTGTTTACATTTTCTTAAAGATAATATGACAAAACTGAAAAAGTGTAGTTGGCAGTTTTCATAATTTTCCATGTCCAGCAACTATCAACAACAATAGTCTAAATATCAAAAAGCTGTTGTCTTGCAGAATTTTTTTTTTTAGTGCTTACAGATCCCAGACAAATCCTTTGGTTTAGGTCAGTGGTGTCCAAACTTTATTCAAATGATTCAAAATCATTCAAAAGTACCGATAGGCCAGATGAAAATATATAACTTAATTTCAAACTAAAATGACAAAAAAAAAGTTACTTTTTTTTATTTTTGACCTGAGCAACAATGAAGTAAGCCTACAACACTTTATTTATTTTATTTAAACAAAGAGCTTAAAAATCCAGAGCTTAAAAAGGTATTTGCTATTTCCCTCCTCAAAAGAAAAGCATTCAGTTTCCAAATTTTTTGAGGCTGTATGAAATTCTTGTGTTTATTCTCAGCAATAAAATAGGAATTGGGTAACTGTTTACTCATTTAGCTAAGTTTAATAGACTTATTAAAAGCAGATATGGCTGCATAAAATCTGCTTTTGAGTAAAAGCAGCAGGATAGATCTGTTCTGAGAATGCAGGAAGTGTGCATTTTAAAAGCTCAATACTTTGTGTTGTACATAAGATTTTCTATTCTAAGAGCATTTCATTTTGTCTTAACCGGTTTGCCGTAGCCAAAAAACAAAACAAAAAAAAAACAAGAGTTTCCATCTCCATCAACTGCCAGTGTTGAAATGCAGGCTGGGGCAAAACACAACAAGTGACTTTCTGCACTTTAGTCAAGCTGTAGTGCGGTAACACAAATATCCCGACCTCCCCGGGGGAATAACTTGATGGGAAAGCTGGAAAGTTTTCTAAATAGACAAATAGTACGAAAAGATATCTGCCTGAGTATTTATAAGCAGCTCATTAAAATGACAAGAAAAGAAAACATAAAACAGCCTTACATAAGCCTTCGGTTTATGACACACAGCACGTGCTGGGGGCAGGAACCTTGTGGCTGTGTTGTCCCCCGTTTCCTCTGAGACCAAGCTGTAGGTTCATATGATGGGTAGTCAAGACTGAGCTGTAGATCTTAGACCGTGACTGGATTATTTGTACCTAAAGTAGAGTCAGTGCAGCGTAAACCGTAAGTGTGTTTTTCTTCGGGGCGCTGAGACACATGAAGGAAGGCACGGCTCACATACATAAAGATGATCATATACAGACTCGGGACATACTGTACTTTATGACCTCATTGTCCTGTAATGCACGTTTCTGTGCCAAAATAAACTGTGGGGCTGACATTCTGGATGTAATGTACAACCTCCTTGTACTTTTGTCTTGTGTGCTTTTCAGAAAACTGTAATCTCTGCATTTCTTTCTGTTAAGTAAGAGCAAACGAACAAAACTTTAAATCAAACAAGCAGCGTCTACTGTTGTCTTTTTCTTTTTGTTTTCATTCCTGCAGGAACCCATAACCTGGCGCTCTTACGGAAGAAACCTCAAATGCATATTTGTATGTCATCAAAGCTTCATAGCTTTTTGTCAGGGCAACATAATGTAGAAATCTCTCTGTTGTCATTGTGGTATTGGAAGTGAATTTAGGGGCTGCTATATTCCAGTTTATGGGGCATATTTTGTTGCAGCTGTTGAGCCAGAAATATGTCAACATGTTTCCTTTTGTTGTGCAAAAGGCAGAAGGGAGGCAGCGTGCCTCGGTATGCTGAGGAGATTCCTGACTTCATCTGAAGGTTGTGTGACTACGCGGAAAGGAGATCATGCTCGGTTGACCCTGACCATTAGTTTTGCTGTTTTGGTTTGCTAGATGACATCTAACTAGCACTTAACTCAAAACAGTAGTGGGATCTGATTGGTCCCACTATTCTAAGTATTAACTGGCACCATTTTCAAATGCAGAATAACCACAACAGAGAACAGACAATAGAGTGGTACTAGAAATCTCTTTCGACAGCAAACAAATCAAAACTCACTGAGCCCTAAAAGCTTTATTATTTTTAATATCTTGGCAGGATCTTTTTACTGAAAAGACATTCCTTTGCACTCCTTTTTGAAATATTCGGAGGGCAGCCTTCCAGCACCGGCAAACAAAGGCGACGCGAGCCGTACGCAGGATGTAAACACATGGCTTCTGCCAGCAGAGATCATGTGATGCGGTTTCTTCCTCGCAGTGTTGCGACACCACAGCTACAGCACCGCTTTCACGCTTGGCACTCGTCCTGCTGCATTGAAGCTGTGTTTTGATTTCCCAGGTGCACTTTGGCATCAAATAATTCACCTACATGAATATTTTGGAGTTCTGTGACTGATCACAATAGGTTTTGAACTTTATGGTTTTGAATTTGTTTTGTGCTAAAGGTTTGTATCTAACTCCCCACCCAGCCTGTGCTACAGAACAGGTTTGGTCCAGCCTGGGTAAATCTCCAAGAAACTATCCAACAGTTCCAAGAATCAGCTCTGTCAAAGCCATATAAATACAAGTACCGTGTTCTTTTTTTTTCTTCTTCTTCTTTTTTCTAAAAGTACGAGAGAAACAACTGGGTTTGGAGGAAAAAAGTGAGGAAGGGATTCAAAAAGCCAGCGTTCAAAATAGCTATTTTTCAGAAAATGGCATTTATGTACACTGGCATGCGTCCATCTTTTCCTCGTTTGGGGACGTGTGGTCACACTTTATCAACATCAGCCTTGGGCATGCTGCCAAAATACACACACATCACAACCAAAACACTGCACTTTTACAAGCCATGTGCGTTCGCTTAGTGTAAGACTTGCAAGCATGCATGAATCATCATGCTTAATCTGCACTTATCTTCATTTTGAAAAATGTGCTCATAAATTGGTAGCTCAGCCTTTGTTTCTCTCCACAGAATGGAGGGAAATAGGTCAATATTTACAGCAGTAAGGATGTTGCTGCAGGAGGTTGGCAAAGGCTTCTCTTAAAAGTACGAGTGAAAATAACAAACACTTGCTCGGGCTGCATCTCTGCATCTTAAAATGATCTAAAAGTGTTTCTTTTCCATCTTTTTTTTTTTTTGGTACGTCGCTCAAAGCGCTTGAGCTATTATTATTTCTTCTCACTCATCAGACGCCACAAGAGATGGAAAAACACTCGGTGGCTCATGTCCGCACAGAATAAAAGCTTCTCAGGACTCGCAAAGCCTTTATGGATCAGCACATGCGTCATTACTGACCGTGGAGCTCTCACATTCACTTCAGCCTCCCGAATGGAATGTGACCTGGCTTTGAGGGAGGATTTCTATCATACAAGCTTCTTAAAGGAGCATTTATCATGTCGATCTCCCTGCTGAAAACCATATGATGGAGGAATGCATATGGATAATCAAAACAAGCACTGTTTCAGCCTGTGTTGATCTAAAAGAAAAGAAAAAAAAACTACTGCTCTTTGGTCATGCCGTAGAACGTGCTGATTCCTTCAGCAGATAATCTTTAAAGTGGACTACTATTAGAAGGACAACACATTTATAAAAAAAAAAAAAAAGCAGAGGCCACGTGGAAAGATTTAGGACCTTCCTGCTATGAGGCTGCAGTGCTAATCAAGCCGGAAAAGAAGAAATTCAGCTTTATTGTCCCAGAATGGGGACGTTTCTGTACAAAATCAGGAAAGTTGGCGCTCAATCAAAGAAAGCGGATTTACCCAAGAAATATAAAACACAAAAATAAAAAAGTACTGTACAGGGTGGTTAAGATAAACAAATTAATTTGCATTTATAATATCACTATTCCATAGCCCTTTTTTTCATATTTAATTCCATGTGAGTTATAAAATTAATTGAGGAAAAAATACAGATCCGCATTAGTACTTTTTAAATGCTGTTCAGTTACAATAATTACCCTTCATGAACTCATGCTACTTTCAGCATAATAATGCTGATTTTTAACATGAAAATTGTAGTTCTATATGCAAGATAGCCATAATAAGTTACAAGGATGGTGGATGTTTATTTGTAGCACAACAAATAGAACGGGTCAAAGTTCTGGGGTAAGATTGTTCCAGAACGTCTGGCACGATGATATTTGGAAATCTACTCATTTGGGGCTTTTTGGGTCTGGAAGTATCCAGTTCAAGCTCCACCTTTGCTCATAGATGGTGAATCAAGTGGGCAACAGGTAGATTTGGCAAAGGCAGGATAGTCATAAAGCGTTCCTTAATGGGGGTTATTGGGTTATTTACGAAACACTTTTGGGTTAAACGCAAGTAATGTCACTAAAACTTGTTGGATATTGTGGCCAGGCTCTGTTATGAGTTGTACAAAAAAAAACAATGATAGGCCAGTGGTGTTCTCTTCAGATGGTGTTTATTGTGATCATATTCAAGTGAAAATGTTGAAGAAGCTTGTTAAAAAACCAGACAAAAAGTGTCTGTGAATGAATGCCTTCATTCCAGATCAAAACCATCACCTTCAGTTCAACATGTTGGAAATCTGGACTCTATGCGCTTCAGGGCCCTCTTCTCTTTTATCATCACAAGAAGGCCAAACAACAAACCCCAATCAACCAAAACAACACCAAAGAAAAGCTGGGTGGTTACTTTCAGCTAAAGTGAACCTATATCAAAGTATACAGAAATAAATAAAATGATTATAATACTGAAAAAAGAAACCTGTGACCAAAAATACATTTAATTAAATAGAAAACGATCAATTTGTAATCCGTCATGTGACTCTCTCCCAGCGCGCTTCAATCTGGAAACAG